TCAGAGATCCCTTTCCAGAACATTCTATAAAGTAGCCAATTTCCTATCCCTACTTCCTACCCCGACCACTTTTTCTCAAATTCCCAGTTTTATTTTCTTCGTAGAACTCAATACTATCTATACTTACGTCACATTCCTTAATTTGTGTCATACCCGTCACATTCCCTCACCCCACCCTGGACTGCGATCTCATAAGGGCAGGCACCTCTCCTGTTTTATATCTGCTGTACCCCAAATTGCGCCTGGTCCCGTGTGTGATCCTCAATTACTATTTTTTAAATATATGAGTAGACAGTCTCTGTCACATCCTGTCACAGGTCAGTAAGAGTGCTCTCTGCACTCCAAAAGAGTTGGTGGAGGTGAGCCATAGGGAGAGGGGCTGGGCAGTCTGCAGTGGTGTGTTATATATGGGAGGTCGATGGTGAGATTGCTTGTTCAACCCTGATAAATAGTGGTGGTGTTTTAAGTGAGTTTCAAGCAGAAGCAGGGTCTTCAGGAGGATACATGTGCTCAGGCCTAACAGCCTGGTCACTGGTCTTTCTCACACTGGCTGGGAGACCAGTGTGAGAGAGAAGACTTTGCAAAAGCTCATGGTGCCTTCTGCCCCTAGTGTAGGAAACAGCCGTACTTCCTGCCACAGGAGGACTCCAGTGAGAACAGATAATCTAGTTGAGGTGCTTTGCCAAACCAGCTTTAAAAATTATATGATATAACATGTATTGAAAACACATCTTTAAAAATAAGTTTGTGAAAAATAAGTTTATCCAAATCAAACTCAACACTTTCTCGATATCTTATGGATTATGAATCCAAAAAAAAGCAACCAGAACCTAAAATTTTGTGGGCGGAGAATAAAAATCCTTTTTTCCCCACCTCCTTGTCTTCCTCCTCCTCTTTAGTCCTGATCTTTTTCCTCTCCACCCCTGCTTTTCTCACCTGATCTGTTGTCTCTGGGGACGATGCCTGATAAAATTTATGGTGCTATGGGCTTAGTAAAATGTGAGTCACAGCTCAGCTAGCCTACTCAAGGGTGCAGGTGGAAAAAAAAGGTAAGTTTTCTCTTTATAAATATCTTTGCTGTTCTTTAAATCTAACACAGTCTATCACTCTGAGCATCTATTTACCATATCATTTATACGTAATATTTTGTATGCATTGTGGGAATTTGGACTCATGTGGAACACTTTTTCAAGGGAAATCAAGTTACTGTTCTTTTTCCTCTTTTGCACAAATAGAAAGATGTTAAGGTAAGGCAAAGTGTCCCCCTCCAGGTGTCCCCCTCCCCTGTCCTATCCCCACCCAAGCAAGGAAGTTTCCAAATGTTCACTAGCCACTTTCGGAAACAGCCCTATGGCAGATGGAAGGAATTTCTACTCCCTGCATATGAGCAAAACCATCTGATTTAGTTGGTTTGGTCAGGTCTTAGAAATATATTGACAAGCAAATGTGTATCTGGGATAATTTATAGTTTTACTGTCTATATTGCTCCTGGGGGGAATGGCAAATTTATGTAATGTGGCCCATCTGATTTTAAAAAGTCTAAATAGGTTAGAAATAATTAAAATCCAGTCTACCTTGTGAAGGTGTGTGCATTTAGAAATGCTCCAATATCATTTTTACCTTATATTCCCTTTCCTATCAGCCCAAAGAAGGAAAAATCTGCTCTTATCTGTTATCTTCCTCCTAGTAATCAGCAATGATTTTTCTCTCAATGTGAACTTTTCTCAAGAATGTTTCATTTTGATTTTATTATTATTTCTGGCTTCTTGAAGAAATAGGACTTTCATAGGGCTCTTGTGGTTAGGTCAAGAAAACAAGCTTATCCATGTTCTCCCATTCCTTGGGGAATTAGACCACCTTCCCAGAGGCACAGCTTCCCTCCCACAAGGTGTCGATACGTGGATTTCAGCCAGGCTGCATTGAGTGCTTTGATGTCTTGCTCCCAGGATGCACTCAAGGCTCTTGCTTCTATGATGGCACAGAATTCAACACTCCACTCCCACAAATTTCTGCATCTCAAAATCATCATCTGTGATTTTGCTTCTTTATTACCTGGAATGAGTATCATTTCCTGGGAAGTTCAGCTAAAGAGTGAGAGATACTTATATCCATCAGTCTGAAGAGAATCAAAGGATTTCTTGTGCCTGAAATCACTGGGCGGAACTCCTTAAGTTCATTGTTCCACTGATGGTGCTTCACTGGCTTTTGCTGGAATCTGCCAGAGAACATCTTCCCTGGACCACATCCTTCTGCTCTGAACACATAGCAGCTTGTGTGTTCCAGCCATCAACTGGCAAGGCCTCTTGTGTCACTTATCAACCCAGTTTCATTCCTGGGCCACAGATCAGCTTTATTCCTTCTATTTGCCTGGATTTCCTGCTGAATTTAAAAAAATGACTTTTTCTCTGGTAGGAAGTATTGAGCTTTTGGCTTGATTAAGGATAAACATTAGTTCTGTTCTTGTAGATAGTGAGAGTCTTACAAAAGCTCGGATTTATTTGCTTATCGTTTGAAAATACATACTGAGTAATGTTGCTTGCCATTTCAACAGGATAGGTACAGCTGTTTTTCCTACTCTTAATGAGAATTATTGGTGTTTGGAGGTATTGAATGTAACTACTAGTAATTTTTTTTTCATTTCTAATCAAAGACCATCACATTCTAAAGATTGATAGTCAAATATTTATTTTAGAAGACTTTTAAACACTTGTTTAAATCAGACCCTGTGGACATTTCCAGGATACTGTCTGTGTCGAGTTCCTGTATTATGTTAACATCATTTAAAACACCCTTGAAAGATGCAAAACTTGTTTTACAACTCCAGCTAATATGATACTTACATAGTAGTGTCCCCAAACCAACAGTGTTTGTGTTCATTATTCTCCCTTTTATCTTGTCTGTAATCATAAAAATTAAGTGATGTTCAAAAACTTGCCTGAACAACAGATGCTATCTTGGAGAGATGTTTTAAATAGCCTGTATCTGTAGCCATTCTGCCTCCTTAGCCAATATTCTCTTCAGCCTTCTTTACTCTCTTCTTTCTTTTTCAAGCATTTGCATGTAGAACAAAGAAAAGAAAAGCATAAAAACACAAAGGCAGATTTGTTTGTTCTGAGAACATCTGTTCTCCTTGTAAAGCAACCACATGATATGGTCCGTTTTCTTCCATGCCCTCTTGGTTTGCAGTTGTAAAGCGACTGTTCCATCAGTCTTAAGACTGGAATTTAAAGATATTCCCTAATGTGTTGAAATGTAGGGAAAATATAATAAGTTTTAAATTTTAGGTGATAGTCAGATAAGCATCCTCACAAAGTAAGAGAAGCTGAGGTTGACTACAAAATGGTTTATTATAGAATTATTTCCCCCCAAGATTCCTTGAATGATTTCATGTCATCAGTATCCCATTTGGAGTATATTGGGTCCTGTTTACATTTCTTCAATGAATGCTTAGAATTCTTCTTAACTTGGATTGCACTTGAGGTGTGTATATATTCTGAAAAATTTTAAAGATAAAATACTAGCTGTAAATATTGTAATTTATATATATATTTTAAAGTTTGTTAATTTTTTCAGGAGAATTTCTCCCAAGCTTCAAATACTACCATAATCTTAATGACCAGGAAAAGTTCAAATACTTATTACTCAAAATCAAAAGGATCAGTTGAAAATTACCTAGAGATTCTACCCAGGAGATACTCCTTTTTTCTTTCCTAAATAATACCTTCAGTCTTTGGGATAGATGAATGGGGAGTAGACAGTGAAAGATATGTAAAGCTTCCAAAATTACTAAGATAAATGTATTAAATTTTATGAATGGTTACAAAAAATCTCCTATATACTCATTACGTATTCAAAAAGCAGGTATCCTCAGCCCAAGTATCTCAGATACATGGTATCTGTAAAAATTTATATATTCTATACTGAAGTCACATTCAGAGGTAGGGCTTTCTGTATGTTGATTTATTAATTCAGAAACATTTAATCAGCATCTTTCTGCATGGGCTCAGTTATCCACTTAGAAAGAAGAAACTTAGTCTAAATTCTGGGATTCCAGACAATGTTCTTTGTGAAATTTCCATCTCAGTTTAATGATGACACACATTCTCATGTAACATGACAGTTTTTCTCCTTGTTCACTGGATTGTTTTAATGCCTCCATGTCTCCATCTTTTGCACCCAATTACTACAATTTTCTACTGCTCCTGATTCTTCATGGTGTGCACTTGAATTTCATCTTGAGCATCTTGAACATGGATCTCTTGAGACAACTTAGTTTATTCTTTTCCTTACTGGGAAACATTCTCCTGACCTAAAAAGGATCATGTTTGAATTTTATGTTATTTCATGTTGTAAGTATTTAGATCTTTTTGGAGGAGGATGAGCAATGAGATAAGTCTAGGCCCCTTCACATTCCCTTCAGGAGCATTATTTATAATGGGGGGGGGGGGTTGGCATTATTTCTATGATGCTGTTTACAGTGGTGATTTCTGTGGTCACTGACTTCTGATGCACCCTGTGGTTAATGGAAATGTCATGTTAAGGCAATATATGTTACGGAGTTCTTTTCTCATCCGATTGGTGGGTATTTCCTAGAAGCCAGACTGGTGTATTATGCCGAAATCACCAAATGATTCTAAAAATAATTATGATGAATTTCCTGTATTTTCGAGAAATCCATTTAGAATCTATTATTTTGAGAAATAAAGGACAGCTGACTATTGATTCCTATGAATCATCTCTTAGAGTCATTGGTACTGGAAAACCTTGTATCTATAAAGGAGGGAACCTATTTCTTTTATTACTTTGTGATTGTCCTTTAAGTTTGAATGGAGACTTTTGCTCCTGGGGACCTTTATGGAGGATCCTGTTGGATCTATGAGAGGGACACAATTCCTTGAATACTAATGGGTCATGTGCACCAGTGTGGCTTTGACACCCCTGATGCTGTGAGCACTACTTGGAGAACTTATTCTGACTCTGGCCCTTACCACCATCCTTAGGCAAAGGACCTGAGACCCTGTATGCAGGGCAGAAGCTCAATGACAACGAGTGGCACACCGTTCGGGTGGTGCGGAGAGGAAAAAGCCTAAAGTTAACCGTGGACGATGATGTGGCTGAGGGTGAGTGAAAATGTAACAAAACCGGTATCTCTTTGCTCTTATAGATTCCTCTGTCATTCCATCTTTTAAACCAGAGGCTAAGTAGAAGTCAGAAATCATGTTCTCTGTGGACAAGCTCAGGCAAGGCTAAGAAACAATTTTCCTCTGTATTTTTTAAAATTCCCCTTTCATCAATCTGTATTATAGAATTTACCTATTACTATTATTCTTTATTTTGGGGTCTCTCTCTGTAGTCACAGAACATACAACTGGAGGACAGATGTAGGGTTCTATGGATCCTTCTAGAATCCAATAATTCAAATGTCACTTATCAGTCATCCTCCAAGTACAAATTCCTTCAGTTGGTGAACAGGTTGTACTTAAGAAGAGGGAGGGAGGCTGGGGTTATGGCTCAGTGGTAAAGTGCTCACCTCACACATGAAAAGCCCTGGGTCTGATCCTCAAAACACATAAAAATAAATAAATTAAATAAAAAAGTTATAAAAAATTAAAAAAAGAAGAAGAGGGAGGTAGGTAATCTGGTGTTCAGAATATTTTAGGGACATGTAAATATCTAGCACAGTGCATGATATTTAGGAGTTGCTGAACAAGATTCCGTTTAATGAATTATTCATTTATTTAATCATTATTGCCTGAGTACCTATTTTGTACCCAGAACTGTTTTAGAAGGAACTTGGAATATGGTGATATAAAAACAGGTGAAATTTACATTTAGAGGGCAATGAAGAAATGAATGAACCCATACATATGTAAAGGAACATTTAGCAGCTCACACAACACAGGAGCAGTTCCTGAGAGCCTCTTGCATGTCAGCAGTGTGCTCAACTTGTAGACAATAAGAAGGACGTGCAGAGATCGCCTGTTGCCTCAAATAGTCAATCAATCATGATGATTAGATAGGACTCTGGTATTTGAAAATGGAACAAGAATATACCATGAGATTCTAATTTGGATGGGTAAGATTATAATTGTCAATCAGAAGGGAAAATGACTGACAGGGTTGGGGTGATTGGGAGTTCTTTATGAAAGTAGATCTTCAGCCCAAATTTGACAGGTGGTTGTGATAGATGAGGTCTAGGGTGGAAGAGAGAAGGCACATTCAAGTGCTGTTTTACACATTTTCCCCCTGTAAGTCTATACTCTCATATTCCAGAGCAGTACATAGTAGATAGAATTCTTGTCTATTTGGTAAAGAAAAATTCGGGTAGTACTAGGAATTACATGGAACACTGCTGGCATCTGGTCTGGGTCCTGACACTAATTCTGCAGGGTGTTGGGAAAGTTACTCCCCATCCCTGGGCCTTGACAAGTACAATCAGAGACTAAGCCATCTCTACAGGGCCTTCTGTGGATAAGACCACCAGTTAGTCAGGAGCCCTGGGGTTTAAAACAATCATTGCCATTAAATTGCTTTATGCCTTTGGGATAGATATACTAAACCTCTTTTTCTTCATTTCCTCATTTTGAAACTTGAACTTCTGTTACTTCTAAGGTTCTTTCTAGCAAAAATGTTCTGCGATTTTGAGTCCTATAATTCAATTTTATATTCATAAGCCTGAGTTTCTATATTTCTGGAGTCAGGAATTATAGTGAAACAGGAGTGTAGGGGTGTGTGTATGTAGGTTGAGAAAACCTGTTTGAGGATTGAGGAAGAACAGCTAGCATGTAGGCATTAGACACTGTGTTGTCTATCTTACATACATCAGCTCCTTTAATCTTTTATAATTCAGCATGGCCTTTCAAAATAAATGTTCATATTGTCAGAAAGGTAACATGAAATTTAGAGTTGGATAATTAAGCTTCAAATCCATGTCTTCTTGATTCTACCTCCAACCCATTGTAAGAAAATGATTTATCTGCCAGGTGTGGTGGTGTATACCTGTAATCCCAGCAGCTCTGGAGGCTGAGGCAGGAGGATGATGAGTTCAAATTCAGATTCAGTAATTTAGCGAAGTCCTAAACAACTCATCCAGATCCTGTCTTTGAATAAAATATAAAAAAAGGGGTGGGGATATGACTCAGTGGTTAAGTGCCCCTGTGTTCAATTCCCGTTACCAAAAAGAAAAAAGAAAAAAAAAGATTTCTTTTTGAATACAGGAAAAGTGGAAAGAATGGGCAGGACTCCGGTGGGGAACACATTTTGGGAGGTAGACACATACCAACTCTCTCCCCCACAGGGAAACAAAGGCAAACAGAACCACAAGTGTATAACCATTGTAGTTATACACAGACGTCAGTAGAGAAAATATTGTTTTACGTAGAAAGCATTGGTCTACGTTCCTGAGGGTAACTTAACTTTCTGAAATGAACGTAAGAAATGTGATGCAAGAAAAAATGGTTATACTGTTTAGAATGTGCCGTCAGCCTGCATTAGTTGTCCCAGAAATTATCACAAACCATTAGTGCAGGCAGGAGCACACAAAAGCTCTGGCGGTAGTTTGAACAAACAGCCCTTGCTAAACTGGGCTTGGCTGATTAAATCCCAGTGAGGAAATTCACAGCGTATTCTGAATAGCAGCCACTAGATGGCACCCTCACCCCAATTCTAGCCTTGAGTACTTTTCATTTTCCTTGGGAAATGCACACCCTGAAAGCTTCAAGAGCAGCAGAACTGAGGGGACTGTAATTCCCTCTCTCAATCATAATTCTTTGATAGAACCCTTGGAATAAAGGTAATTGTAAATTGTGCTTTCTGTTGCCAGTAATAATTAGAACGCAGGGCTAAACCAAGGAATGCCCAGGTCATGCAGTCATTGGATATTTGAAATTAACCAAGCTCCTTCACTTTCAGCCTTACCCCCTAATTCACTGGCGGTGGAACAAAGCAGCCACGAGGATGGAGAGATTTGGGAGAGGAAAAGAGTTATTTTGCTTATGAGCTGTAACCTTGGGTTGCTTTTTTCAGTGATAAGGGGTTTGGGAATTTTAATTTTAGTTTATGGAAGTCATAAAATCAGGCAATGAAATTAAAATACCACACAGTCCCCAGGTTATTAAGTGGTGTCTTATTGGCTTATTTAGTAATTGCATTCATGCTGTTTAAGATCCCCCAGAGTGCCAAATTTTCAACTACTTTATAGAAATGATGCAAAGAATAGACCAGACTCATAAGAAATCAAAAGCAAAGAAAGAAATAGTCCTCAACCTGGTGTTTTTCATTTATTATAGTGTAATTGTGTTCTCAGAAAGTATTAAGTTCAGTTGACAGTTAATAAGGATTGATTGATTGATTGGGCTGGATTTCTATCATTAAGAATAAATTAAAAGAATACCTCTGTTGGGTCATACCTCTCAGAATGGGGACCTAATGAACTATCCATTCCACCCAGAACTTCATGCTAATATAAAAATTCACCCCTTTGTTTCACTGCTTTGGTTCAAGTTGATTTCTCTCTCTGTCATTCATGCTGTAAAAAGTCGGTTTTTTGTGTTTTTTTTCCAGAGTTTTCCATTAAAAACATGTTCCTTGTGTTAATAAAAAGCCTGATTAAATAGGATTGGGAAATGTTAGGTCAAAAATCATGAAGTTCTGTACTGCCAAGACTTACTTATGAGGAACTTATAATGAGCTAATGTACATTGCTAATCATCAATAATTAAATATGCAGTATTTGCCAAATGTATTTGGCTCCAGAAACTTTTTTTTTCAATAAAGCATTTTATAGCACACACTCTTCAAAAGTGCTGATATCATGGAGAAAGACCAGGGGAGCTAGAGAGTTGTAGGGAAATATGGCCTTCATTTTAATTTCTCTTCCTGTGTCTTGGAGTCGGGGGAACTCAAGGTACTTCCTCTCTGCTTTTCCTATTATTATTATTATTTGCTAAGCCTTAATGTTGGCCAGGAACCTCATGAAGAAATGAAGATATAAACTCTAACTCCTATGAAGACATCCCAAATACAAGCTCTGCCTTTCAGTTATAGGGATTCTTGAAGTAGTCAGGCCCCTGCAGAATACTAGAGGACACATGGAAGATACCCAAAGTTGTCCCTATTTTTTTTTTAAAAAAACTTGCATTCTCAGAAAAGAGCAAATTAAATAAGTAAATAAGTGAAAAATGCATAAAACATTTCAGAGAAAGAGGGAAAAAAACTGCTGTATCATTTAGTAATAGCTAATGATTTAAGTCCTATGTACCATTCTAAGTACTTTCTATGAATGGATTATGTTTAGCCCTGGGCAACTTCCTACCTAATTCACAAATGGGGAAGTGAGGCAGACAAAAGTTAGGTAACTCTCCTAAGGTAGCCCAGTTAAGAACTTGTGGAGTTAGAATGTAAATCCATGCTGTACAGCTCTTGAATTTATATACTCATCCACTATTTGCCATGGCCTCCTGGGGAGTTACATCGTGAACCTGGCCAATAGTTTCCAGAGGTTTATGTTCTTCATCACTCCAAGGATTGATCTGCAGACGGTTTCTTGGCTGTCTGTGAAATATGGAAGTGAATGTGTGAATAGGAGCCAAGGCAATGAGGCTGCTTTGGGGGAAGTTGCTGAATGTATTACTCCTGAATCAGATGGAATGGCATTGTGGTGCTTGGCCAGGGGGAAGGAGTGGGAACTCATTACAACAGTTCCTGCATGGAAACTTCACCTGCTAAATTCTACCTGCTGCTTTTCTTGGATAATGGTGTTCGGGAATGAGTCCGATTTTTTTTTCTTTTTAAATAAATACACTATGGTATACTAGTAAAGATGTGGGCTTTGGAATTTACACACCTGGGTTCAATTTGAAGGTCTCCCATTTACCACCTGTTTGATCCTTGATCACATTGCTTAACTTCTGTAAGCTAAAGGCCATCACCTCTAAAGCAAGATGATGATACCTATATACAATTTTATTGTAATAATGATGTCTGGGAGGCAGCGCTTAGTGCAGCGTTTGGTGTACAGGGAATAGTCAGAGTCTTGGCTTCTCTTTGTTATCTTTCACCCAAGTAACTTCTCTGCCCTCCCAAATTTTAAAACAGATACTATAAGGTATGCATTTATTTATTCACTCCTGAAGTGGAAGGGAGGTTTATTGTACAGACAGGAAGATATAAATGAAGGGGTTCCAAGTCACTAAAATGGATTAGCTGACACACATAGATAGATTTATTTTAAAATATTTGGTTAGACTGGTACAGGTTTCAAATTTGAAGAATTTTTTTCATGCTTTTGCTAGGTGCCCCAGACTTTTTTTATTTATTTTTTAATCATCATCCACAGAGGAGTGAGTTCCATTAGCAAGTACTAGAGCCAGTACCTCTTTAAGTTTGGCTCTACATTGCCTTCTCCCCTCTCCTCCCTGGCTCAGATTTGAAGCTGCGCTCTGAGTCACCCTAGACTCTGACTCAGGCTGCGTTCCTGGGCTTATCCTGGGATTTCCTTCTCCCCTTCTTGGCTTCTGTCCCACATATCCAAGCCCTTGCCCAGGCCCTGGCTCAGTCTTTCTCCATTTTCATTCCCATTATTTTTTGCTTTATACCACTGATTTTCTGGTGAGCAGAATTTCACAAGCTCTCCAGTCAGAATTTCCTTCAAAGCTACCGATTGGCTTGAAAATTGTCTCTTTAGATTTCTTTTAGAAGCCAGGGATCTAGCTTTTTGGATTACCATGAACCACCATTCTTACTTCTTAGTTCTCAGAGTGCAGTTTTTAAAAACACAGATTAGCAAGGCTGTGAACATAGTTGTAGATGCTTTCCTTCAACCCCATGCAAGTTGGTTGTGACTGTCCCTCTCATACTCTAGCCACAGTCCTAATGCCTGTATGAACAGCTATAGCCAAGTTGACATCAGGAGCTTATTTCAGTTGTTTTAAAACATGTGACTGCATGTTGCTCTGGGGTTGTGTTTTCTCCAGGCAGGCCCAATCCCAGTGGCTGTTGCAAGGCCACTGGGAACTCTATGCTTTGAACAAGCCTTGCTTGAAACAGGCCTTTCATCAGTATGCTTGCAAAAGCTCTGGAGCGCATTATCACTGTGCTGGTTTGGATTGTTCCTAATCTAGTCCTCTGCAAGGTGGTTCAGCCTAGATCAGCCACATAAGCATCATCTTGAACTTTGCTAGAAATGTAGATTCTCAAGTGTCAACCAGGACTTTTGAACTAATAAATTCTGAGCGTGGGGCCTAAGCCTTCAGATAATTCTGACGTGTATCAACATTTGATGATCACATTTTCAGTCCTTAGACTAAAAAAAAAAAAAGTTTGTGATTGGGTGATAAAACATAAGGAATAGTCTAATCAGGATAGTTTGATTAGGGTCAGCTTCATTCATTTCATCCATACAGTTTAAGAGCAAAAGGTAGTTTCCCAAAGGAAAATTAGGTGTTATTGCTAGAAAATAATAAGTTGCTGGGCAGATAAAACCAACCGATGTTCTAAAGTAGAAATTTTTCTACAAGTACTAGGTGGTGGATTATTATAGCAAGAAATATTTGGTAGTATCTTTGACAAGAGCTGGGGCAGCAAAGACCTTTCTTCTTATCCTGTACATTGGTATGCAATCATTTTCTTGAACACAGAGAACTCATAGTTTTAGCCTGTAAGTGGGTTCCCCTTAATCTCACATTCTTCTTTTTATGACAAGCCACTCTGAGCAGATATTTGGGCATCTGGATGCAGGACATAGGACTTGGGCTGAGTCAGAGCTCAGCTCTTTGATTGGCACCAAATCAGGTATATCCTATAATGATTACCTTGTTTTCTTGAACTGAATCAAGGAAATCGAACCATTTGAATTCCATCAAGTTTCAAGTTACACTAAAAGATAGAGTAAGGATCCTGTGACAGAACATAACTCTTCCTGTTTGTACCTCATATCTGGTTTTCATAGGTACAATGGTGGGAGACCACACTCGCTTGGAGTTCCATAATATTGAAACTGGTATCATGACAGAGAAACGATACATCTCCGTCGTTCCCTCTAGTTTCATTGGGCACCTGCAGAGCCTCATGTTTAATGGCTTGCTCTACATTGACTTGTGCAAAAATGGTGACATTGATTACTGTGAGCTGAAGGCTCGTTTTGGACTGAGGAACATCATCGCTGACCCCGTCACCTTTAAGACCAAGAGCAGCTACCTGAGCCTTGCCACCCTCCAGGCCTACACCTCCATGCACCTCTTCTTCCAGTTCAAGACCACCTCTGCTGATGGCTTCATTCTCTTCAACAGCGGTGATGGCAATGACTTCATTGCAGTTGAGCTAGTCAAGGGGTAAGATATGGGACCCCCAATGGTTTATGCTGGATATCTTTGCACAAGCCCCACATAAAACACAGACATAAAAAAAAAAAAACCAAAAAAAACCTGTTCATTCCATTCTCTTACCTCTGTTCTTTTCATGTTATAGTGTCCTCTTTGATTACAAAGAGTCACAAAATGATTCAGGATAGAAAAGAGATTCATAACGCTATTTAAGATTTTCCATTATTTGGTAGGGAATGTCATAGCTACTTACTCTGAAATATAGTCCTTTAAAACTATGGGGGGAAAATAAGCTTATTTTTTGCAGAAGAGGACTCAGGCATGTTTTACATCCATCTCTTGAGTAATACTAACTGTAACCACCAACTAACTATATGCCTAGAAATGAAGTACAGATATTTGCAACTCAACCATCAGCTCATATATAAATTATTTTTAAAAGCTGCCCTTTCTTTAAGACATTTTACTACCACATGTTGGAAAATAGTAAAAAAAAAAAAAAAATCAAAATCAGAACCAGATCCTTGACCAAAGGAATGAAGTATTGCTCCAGAGTTTTATAGTGAACCACCTGTGCTACTTCTTGGCTCTAGATAGTATTACTACTAGATAGTACTACATGACATTATTCTAGATAGTATTACATAACAGTGTTAAAAAGAAGTAGCTTCTATGAGAATGGATCAAGAACCAAGTATAATAGAGTAGGAACTGACCCTTCTTATGAACTATGCTTTAATGATTGTCACATTATACCAGTTTAGCTTGGGAGACTCAAAGCCCCCTGCACATTGCCAGTAGTGCAGCAGGGAATTGCTAGTCATTGGTGGTGATTGTTCCTCACAGGTACATACACTACGTTTTTGATCTCGGAAATGGCCCCAATGTGATCAAAGGTAATAGTGATCGCCCCCTGAATGACAACCAGTGGCACAACGTCGTCATCACTCGGGACAACAGTAACACCCACAGCCTGAAGGTGGACACCAAGGTGGTCACACAAGTTATCAATGGTGCCAAAAATCTGGATTTGAAAGGTAAACCTTGTCGATAAGTTTATCCTTCTTGGAGCATTTCTTACAATAGAAGCCCTGTTTCCAGAGGCAAACTCCAGGTTAGGCGTGCCACCTATTTTTTGAGACATTGTGCATTTCCTAGCTAAGCAACGTTGAATTACACCATAATGCAACTGAGCCTTGTCTTTGTATAGAGCCCGCTTCAAACAACAGTTCCTTTCTTATGATCTCAGGAATGTCTTGTGGCAGGTACCGAGGAGATGGTCAATGTCAACATGTGAGAGGGTCCATAATAAAAAAAGAAGAACCATAGTCTTTCAGCTGAGTCATGTTCTGCCTAGATGACATTGGTAAATTTTTCTCAGCCGTAGTCGGCTTACGTATATTATTTTTTGTAAAATGAGGACGATGATTTTTACTCCCTTTATGGGTCATTAGGAGCTTTGATGACTGTTGGTAGAGCCCTTCAGCATAGTGTTGGTTATAAGCACCAAAAAAAATGTTTTGTTGAAAATATAGTTCATCTTTACTTGACCGTATCATGGGGACAGTGCCTACTTCCAAGGATTGATTTGATGATTAAAATTTGTATATAAAATGCATGGCATATAAGAAATGTTGGTTTCTTCTCTTGACAATTTAGAGATCCTGGTAATTATTTGGTTTTCATCTGGTCCTGTCCAGATTGTGTTCCACAGATACCCAATAGTCTGAAGTGCTTGGGGAATTGCTCACATGGCTACCATATCCTTTACTCAGTCTCTTTTGCTACCTACCGTCCCATCTAGGCGACCTCTACATGGCTGGCCTGGCCCAAGGCATGTACAGCAACCTCCCGAAGCTTGTGGCCTCTCGGGATGGCTTCCAGGGCTGTCTGGCATCTGTGGACTTGAACGGGCGGCTGCCGGATCTCATCAATGATGCCCTCCACCGGAGCGGGCAGATCGAGCGTGGCTGTGAAGGTACCAGCTTTCCTTTGAAGTTCCAGCCTTGTGGCAAGCACCAAGCCTCTCTGCTGCCTCTGCCAATGCCTCTTTCCTCAATTGACCAGTCCTCTCTCATCCCATTTGCCACCTGACATTGCACTGCCAGCATTGCCCTGTTGTTCCCGGCTGAGTATGTCAGGACATGTGCCACAGGCTCCAGGAGTATGTGTTGGCAGATGTCCCCCAGGATCACATACTTGCCCACAGAGAACCTTCCCTGGCATTGACATCAGGCTTCTTCCAATTTGTGCCTTTGCTTCCTGAATGGCTGAAAAGGGCATCAGAGACTTTTACTTATATTTTAATACATGATCAGGGACAGACTTTACTTAGGTATCAACATCAATAAAATGCTTCTTATTTTGGCTAATATGGACTGCATATTTGAACATAAATGCAACAGGAGATAGGAAAATGATGTCAAAATGCCATGACAATGGAAGGGAACTAATATTTATTGAGTGCTTGCTAGAAATCAGGCATTGTTAGGCAGCCCCTTATTGTGGAATCGTGGAACACCATGGGCTTTGGTGTTGGAAAGACCTAGATCCAGGTCCGGGTAGTAGCTCCTGTTAACTGAGTGCCATTCAGCAAATTACTGAACCGCTTTGAGCTACATCATTCTTCCTTATTTTTTTTCCTGTAAAATGGGGCATCCAAACTTGCCTTGAAAGATAATATAAATAAATCTGAGTGAGAAAAATGCCTGATCCATAGTAGACACTTGATAAACATGGGATTATTGTTTACAAATATTATCTCATGTAAGGAATATAATAACAACTGCGTACCCACCTCTGCAGCACAACAAACCATGCTCAGCCTGTTTCTAAAGATGATCCACTCTCTTTTGAGACATTAGCTGAATTTTACAAGTCTTTCTGAATCCAAGTTCTTTACAATTAAAGCAATCTAATTTTAGTCAGTAGAGGGCAGCAGTGATCACATTTGGGGTTCCCTAGCAGCCTCGGTTTTGGGCTGAAAAGGTGACTGACTATACACCTAATTGCCAGGCAAAGAGCTTGCTTGACCAGTCACCAAGATCCATGTGTTCTTTCCTTTTGGTTGAGCCTCATGGTCCTTTGTGCAGAGTATTATGTTTTCTTGTACTCCTTTGTTAATTTACTGGTGTTAAATGGGTTCATTCATTTCCTGTGTTCAACGTCATCCATCTCTCCTGTTGTTAATCGGCTTTCATTTGAGTCCACTCACTACCTTACAGCACAGTTTTGTCAAAGCTTCTCATCAGCTTCTCATTCTGACTTTGTATTTATGCAAGTTGTTTCCCTTCGCCTAAGAGTCAGCTGCGTGTGCTGCACTGGTGTGAGACCCATCATCCCTACATCCCTACAACCTACTCCAAGTTTCTTTAGCCAGAAACTTTTTCTAAATGCTATTGTCCACATTTGGAATGTGTGTGTGTGTGTGTGTGTGTGTGTGTGTATGTGGGGGGCAGGAGGTTCAGAATCACTAAGTTCTTAAAGCAGTCACTTATGTGTTCTAGAAATGCAGAATTTCATTCATCTAAAAAAATTTTTTTTTAAATCCTCCTGACCTGTTTGTAATTTTTCAAGTGTTAAAGGATAATCCTGGAATAGATGCAGCATTTAGGATTAAATTGAGTATCTTAGTTCAGAAGATTGTGAAATGACCATATTTCTAATTATCCTGGAATTAATAATCATCAACTTAAATCCTAAAAGCACATATTAAAAAGCATAAGGCACTCACTATTCAAATGCTTTATCATACCATCACTTCTTCAACATGGAATGTTAAGAGCAATCATTCATTTTATTCTAAAATAATGTTGCCCAATAGAATCATAACACAAGTCACACATGTGGCTTTAAATTTCCCAGTAGCTACATTTTTTAAAAGGTGTTAAATAACTGGTAAAATAATTTTAATTTTATATGATAGACCCAATATATACAAAATATTACTTAAACATGTAATTAATATAAATTTATTAGTAGATTCTCAGATTTTTTTCTTCAATAGATTAGGAGTCTCACATTCATTTCTGTGATATTAATCCTGCAAAACTGTGCATTTTCCATCTACAGCACACCTCAGTTCAATATGCACATGTTTAAAGGGTTCTGCAGCTGCCTGTGTCTCTGTTTGCTGCATTGGAAGCACAGTTCTATTCAATATAAGAATTGGGATGTGGAGGAATAAAGCTATAGTATTGGATTAAAAGAATGTCTGAACTACCTTTTATAAAATGTATAGTGTAAAGGGGAGTGGATCCCACTTAAGAGAGCCTCAAGAGAAGCAATGGGAGTGTTAGCAGAAAGAGATGATCCATGGCACTGGGGAGATGTTCTTGTCCAACCTGAAGCTCCATGTGTAGTTCAGCGTGACTCATCACATGCATTATAGTGTGTGCAGAGCTTCCTGTAAGTACTGGTGATTGTTCCCAGCCGGATATTGTGACTTGATGGCTCTCCCATCCTAATCGATGGCAAAGCCCACGGGCCTAATCATGCTGCACTCTATTGCCATGGAGATAATGACGATGGTTCCCCGTGGAGCATTGTGACTGCCCTACTGGGTGGGAAGGAGTGGAGGACGAGTGCAAGGGAAGGAGGCTCTTGTTTATTGTACACAGATGACTTCGATAATGAGCCTAAGTGGCCAGAAAAATGGCCCCAAAGTGGGTTAAGGCATAAATTACTGTCATTGAAAGTTTGCACCATTGTGAATAAGCCCTCATAAAAGGACCCAAGAGCTTTTTAGGGTTCTGTGGAAATGAGGTTGTGGAAGATAGTGGGGAGGAAAATGAAGGGCCTTGAACCTTGGAGAGACTGCTGTGCAAGGTGTCATCTCCTTCTGACTCTTTTGTACATAGTGTGTGCCTTTGGGGGTGAGGCAGGAAAGAACACATTTCTCACTGATCATTTCTGCAAATAGAATAGAAAACAGGTGGTAGAGAAGGTTTCCTTACTCAGAACTAAGACCTGAATCTCTTTAAGATGGAGAATGTGCTTCATTTTCATACATTTAGTGTCCTTAGAGCAGGATACATCCTATGTTCCTGTTAAAGTCAATGACAATGACATTTCAAGATGTATGAGTGGTAAAGGTAGTATTTCCCAATTATATCTGACCCACAGCAACAGAGCAAATAAAAGACAAAAGAATCCAAAATCAATTTAAAAGCTTATTATTCCAATATCCTTTGGCTCTCCATTTTTGTAGAAAGAAGAACCATTTGAATCAGGCAAAACCTATAATATATGCAGTATGTAAAATTTAGAAATTAAGTGCTTTTCCTAGCCAACATCTAGCTGTGACTTTAGACCTATCTGTTTGGGCAAAGATGTCTTAAAATAATACCCCAGTTAATTCTTGGCTGGTACATGTCTCTTTGCATCTTGAGGTGAATTTTGCTATTGAGACTCAGGCCTCACTGTCTAGAAATGCTAATCCACAATTTCAGATGATAATCATCTGAGAGAAACACACATGCATTGTTTGAAGACTCGCATGAATAAATAAAAAGGACACTGGTTTGGTGCCTTTTTGCCCACAAACATTTGGGTTTGACTCTATTCTTATAATTTGAAAAAATTGAGCTCTAGTGGTATTCCCAGTAAATCACCTTGATAGAAATGCTCAATTCTGGTGCCATGTTTCATGGTGACATTTGCAAGAGGGTGCCGGGGTGATTCCCAAGTGACTCTTCCATGCTCAAGTCCTGAGCATTCAGAATTATTTTTGTGGGCTCTGTCTGTGCACACGTGTCTTTCAGTCTGGCTACCCTTGTTTCTGGACCATATACACCTTGGGGCTTGCTGTGCAAATGTGTGAAGCCTCCCTGTGCCCATCGCTTGTGCTTTGTGAAGTTCACTACTTTCCTGCCCCTGCTCTGCTGACTTGGCTCTGAGGAGGCCTGCTCTGCCCCTGGTCTGCGCGTCCCCTTGTCCCCTTGTCTGTGCTGTCTCTGGTGAACCTGTAGAGCATCTCCATGTCTTGTCTGAGTGATGTTGGTTATGCAAACTGCGTTTTCGTTTCTGTAATGTGACCCTGGTTTATTCTATCTCTTACTAACCTCTGGTTATTGTTTTCGCTTTTTCTGTTCTTTTGCTAACAAAGTTGCGTTGACCAAAGCTGACCTGCAAGGTAGAGAAGGCTCTTATTCCCATTACCACTTTGGCCTGAAAGATGCCCCGTGTAACCCTTGGTATCTCGGCTTTAGAGGGCTTCAAGCTGTCACACCTCTTAGACAGCTGCTATTGTGGGGAGGGGGCTGAAACCAGTGTTCTTCTAAAAGGGTGACTGAAACCCTGCATCAGTGCATGAAAAATAACTATACAGAGGAAATCTCAGGGGAATAAGAACATGATTTCATTCGGGGCGGGGGCGGGGGGGAACCAAAGAGGTTTGACAGCATCTTATAGCTGTGACTATCCACGAACACATTCACCCTTTCCGGAAATGGTTAACACCTCTTGGTGATTGCCATGGAGAGATTGGCTCCTTTTAATCTATTTGCCATAGTCAGAAGGCAGAACTTGGAATGAGGAAAAAAAAAAGGCCACTTGAGTTTCTTCATTTATTATTCTCTAGGTCAGGAAGGTCACTTCCTAGAGCAGTGTGTTTAACTGCTTGGGCCTTATGAAAGAGCATATCATTTAACTCATTTTATAAAGAAATAGTTTTAGGCATTTGGGAGATATTAATGTCATTAAAGCATTCCAGAGGTTTATATTTCCTATTGGGGATTTTCATTAAGCATTTTAATTTCCTGTGTTGTGATCTAAGGGAAAAAGCACTCTTGGGGGAAAAAGAGGATCTGTCAGTTTTATTCTGAATACCCTATAAAATGCCTGCATGTGCAATATCAGTGAATATCTGCTGCAGAAGCTGCTTTTTCTACCATTCAAAGAGGAACCTTATAAAATCCATAACTACCTACTGGTCCTGTCGTGTCTGGCTTCTTTGACTCAGAATAGCAAGGGAAGAAC